CGTGTTTGAAATTTCTGTTTTTACTAATTGTTCTTCCTTTCCCATAACTATGGCCTCTCTTCCATTTTAGCTTTCACCTCACCTCCATTTCAGTTGCTCAATCTGTCTAGTACTGCTTTTATTTTATTTATATCCTTCTTTCTTTTGTCTGTTGTGTACTTACTTCTCTCTTGTAGGTAAAAATAAAGACATACACCTAAACAATTTTAAAAATTATTTTCTTACTGCTGTCACTACTCAGAGTACCTTTCTCTGGACTTTCTGTATTTTCCACTTCTATGCTTTTATCATCAAATTGGTTCCCAAAGTATGACAGTAGCCTTACCTTTTTTTTTTTTTTTTAATCACACTTACTTTACGATCAGTTATAACACTTCTGAGAGTAGTTTGGTATTGATTCCTAATACTAGTAACAAATACCTTTGTGCCAGATCAGGGTCTCTGTTCATGGATGTCTACGCCAGCATCTAATTGCAAATTACAGCAAAAGATTAGTTAAACCAAGATGCATTTTCTACCCATCCATTTAGTATATCTGCTGACCAATACTCCCTGTTTCAAACAGTTACTCCATGTTTTAGACCTATCTTATCTCTATGGACAGGAAAAGGAAAAAAACATTCCTTTCCTTGGGCAAAAATTAAATGGTCTTAGACATCTTCAAAAGGTACTAATATTTAAATACAGATGCTACCAATAGCACTTAGCGATTGGATTAGACTACTCCAGACACTTTCATCTTTCTTATTTTGGCCACCATTCATTTCTGCACCTTAGAATACTCTCTGTGATTGCACCTGTCCCTGGCCAAACAATCACAAAACGAGGAGGGCTTTTATCAGCCACACTTTCTTTGTTCTTTCACTCATAGCAAAAAAGGGATAAACAGCACAAACTTGAATCAGCTTTAATTTGACCACAGAAGACACTTTTTTCCAAGCCTAGACTATGTTCTTCTACCATCTGAGACCCTAAAGCAACAGCTGGCTGAGGAAACAGTCAGGCCACAAAGCATCTACAGAAATCTTCATCTCCAGGGTTAATTTCAGCTTAAGTTCTCTCAATCATGATGTAGTACTGAAACAGTCAAAGGCAAAGGTTGCTTATCATGTGACAGTTTAAGAACAGATTTCTTTCAATTTAGGTATAAAATAGCAGGTTCAAATATTCTACACTCAAGCAACAGCAGTTGTCAGGCCCCACACATGCACTAGATTGGATCATGGCAGAGAAGGAAATAAATCCACATTCTCCAGATCATAAATCAGTCAGACTGGCTGTCAAGATGCCCATAGGACTGGGTTATTCTCCAGCTGCCCCTTGACAAGATTCCCCTGGTGCATTCAGCACTGTGAGAACCAAGACAGTGGTATGATTCAGTTGGATCTTCTTGTATTATGTTTCAAACTGTTGAATATGGATATCTCATCATGTTAAAACATACACAGTTCCAGTATTCTGTTCCCTATTGACAGATCAATACCTATCCCAGGAAATACTTTATTTCTGAAATAATTTTTAAAAACTTAAATCCATTTTAGAACAATCTGCCTGAGCACACATTTGAGGCAGACCAATTCACATTATTTCATGCTTATTTTTGGATCTATATTATAAAAACACCATCCTAACTACCAGTTTTTTGCTTTAAAATAAGGGGAAAACCCTATAAAAAGATCCGATCTGGGGTACAAGATAACACAGACAATTTCCAACATAAACGCTAGTTATTAGGTGTCATGTAGAGTCAGGAGTTGCCATGGAATCCATTTGCTTCTAAACCAGCTCCTCCTGCTGGAATACTTTCTCATTATTATTTCTTTCAGTAGCACAAAAGGAGCTGGCTTATAGCAGAAATGTTATTTTAGTGTAAAGTTTCTACTGTGTCTACAATAAGACATGAAATTAAAATCTAAATTTAAAGCTGTATTTCTGTTTCAAGTGTAAAGCTACGTTGCTGTGGTCAGAAGAACTAAGTCATTGTTGACTTTTTATAGATTCAGTAAAGCAGAAAAAACAAATTGCAGCTAAAGCTTTTCTTTCAGCTGTCTTCCTGTAAGTGAAAATAAGTGTCATATCTGAAGTCTACTGTTTACATTTTTGCTACATTATTTTTCCATTATGCTTAACTTTTAACATTTTCATACTGGTTATTCTGTGCAACAGCAGCCTCGTTACCAGCCTAATTACTGATGTCCTGGGATACAGAACAGTGTGTGCATGCTGGACATGGGGTTTATTAGGCCAATGAACTCACTTGTTGTGATGTCTGTTTCAATAGACAGATTTCAAAAGAAAAAATGTGATCATGCCTTCAAACTCTTGACACACCAATTATTGGGTTTCAGTTCTTTTGTATACAATATACTGCAGTGAGGCTGGAGGACAATACTGGAAAGCAACCAGCAATATTGGAAAACTATGCCAGTGATTTGTAGCTTGGCATGTTAATACTTATTATTAATATTATTGTTTACTATAGACATTGACTAGCATTGCATCTGGAAGCCCTAAACAGAAATAAGATCCTATTGTGATCAGCACTGTATGGAGATACACACAGCCCTTGCCTCCAAGAGCTTATATTGTATGGTCCCAGCCTTGTAAACTGATCTGGGCAGAATCATTCTTGCACCCCTGTGGAGCCCCCCAGCCCTCCAAGGCTGTCAGAGCTTCCTGCATAATCTTCCTATATGGAAAATGGCAGGCAAGCTTTGGGTGCAGAGAGCTTTTACCTCCTAATCTGTTCCACTCCCATCCTTTAGCAATTGAATTACACCTGAACTTAGGCCAGCCTAACATCTCATGGAACTTTGGACCCTTGTTCACATCTCTCAAACTCAAAGGATGTGCTCCTTCTAGGGAATCAAAGGAAGCCCTGTACCATGCAAGTCTTCCTTCTCCAACCCTGTGTTTTCTAAGGTCCCATAACTTCAGACAAGTTTGTGGAGAGGTCTGTGGCATCTCTAAGGAAGGTCCCCAGCATGCAACAGTTTCTGAGACAGGCACTACCCTTGGAAAACCAAAAGAACATAGACAAGCCCACTAGAGACAGAGAACCCTTTACCCTAGAGGGAAAGCAGGAGGGCCATTGCAGACCTCTAACGAATAGAAGCAGCCCAATATCAGTGAACAACAAGGACTGGGCTGTGGGGCTGGAATAAGGAACCACAAGCCAAATGTGACAGCCAGGATGTTCCTCACAAGCCAGGGCCCACCCTACATTACCTGGATGAGGAGAATAATACTGGCACAGGGATGGCAGCCAGGCTGAGGCCAGAGCCAAAGTCATCAGGCAAGTCCACGGTAACAAGGCAGGTCCAAGATCAAGGTGGGAAGTCAGTCTGTGGGTCAGGGTTTAGAGCAGCACAGTGCCTAGTGAGGTACAGGCATGGCTGCAGGGGCACTGGGCACAGAAACCCCTATGGCCTGTCTCAGGCAAGCACTGAGGGCAGAGCAGGGAGCTGCCAGGTGAGGCTGGTCAGGGCTCTTAAGACTTATTGGTGCACTCAGAGACCTGACACTCAGAGTCTTCTCCTCAGTCTCCACTATGTTCTGACAAGTGGTTGGGTTGTGCCGTGCACCAGGAACATTTTTTTCTGAAGCCAAAATTAAAACCTGACTCTGGTATATCCCAAGGCTTTGGCACATTTCAAGAATGTGTCATTAACATCACTAAGCTATTGCCAGACCAAAGAAATGCTAATTCCTTTTTCATCTACCAGCTAAGTCTTATAGTAATTACACAGAGCAAGCAAGCCCTGAAACTTCCTCCAGCTGCAAGTAGTGGACACTCCTCAGGAAAGGCGCTGTGGGGAATCTATCCTTTGAATAGGCTCTAGCTTCAGCTAGGTACATCCTGCCATCACATACAAATGGAGTCCCACTATCAGTGAATAATAGTCAGAAATCAGGGCTTAGACAAAACACTCCAACAGTGAGGCAAAACCTAAATAAAAAGATATTAATCACAGGCATATGCCAAACCTTGGGAAACACCCTTATCCCTCAGCAACAGATTTAGTGTAGTCTGCAATAGTCTGTAAGGTGGACTCATGCCTATGAGTCTGGTGCTGTTTCCCTATGCCCCCACCCAATACAAGCAATTGATCGCACAGTGTTTTACTCAAAGACATCATCTCCTCCACATTATTTCTGAAGACTTGTATTCACTGCATAGAGAATGCAGAGGAGAGTAGTGACAGGCTTGCAGAACGACCAAATAATACAGAAAAGAGAGGTTGTTCCCAGCTTAGCATGCAATGCTCATAAAAACAATTAAACTTGCAACCACAGACGGGTATGAGACTAAAACAAGAAAAGATCCTGTTAAAACCCATGCAGGGAACGCTCCCCACCTTGCCTTTCAACAAAGCTATAAGCACCATGATGATTAGGATATACACCAAGTGGAACGGACACCAGCTCCAGAGCTGTCAGACAGCCTCTGCATCCCTCCTCTTTTGGTCTGATCAAGTCTATTCTCTGAGGCAATAGGAGGCTGAAGACAAGAGTTTCAGAGCAACAGAGGGGGGTGGTTCCTCTTGCTATTGATTTCATCTGAAACGGGCATGTGTTATTTCAAAGCAGTGTGTCCTCAAGGCGGGTTAAGCTGCTCTCCTCCACTGAAACAAAGCAGTGATACAAGTCTATTTGTGACCTGTTAATTATCAGGTTGATAGTAAGAACAGACTGTGGAATGGATCCCACTATTTTAAGCATTATTCTTTGGGGTGCTGAAATTTAAACAGGCTTCTGCTGACAGATTTCCCCCCGACTAATGAAATAACTTCTTTGCTAATCAAAGCCAGGCCTTGGGAAAGGAGGTTTCGGTGATAGCCAGGGTGCAGAGGAAGCCTGACACAGCTCCAGTTTCACCAGCATACATGAACAAGTGCAGGTCTCAAGCTGTACCAGAGGTCTGGGGCACCCCACCCTCCCGAGGAGGGTTCCCCCTGCCATGAGGCAGCTCCCCTGGCTCGCCTGCAGTCGGTCTGTACCTGGGCAAAGCCTCCTGACTGGGACAGTAAAATCCAACGTGGCACACCAAAACAGATAAAACAGCGTGAAAGGGACGTTTCCTCCCCATCGGCCCCTGCAAAGCTCAAACTCCCCTCTCCTTTAGAGGTGAGGAGGGCAGATTCGACCCCAGGCAGGTGAAACCACAAACGTGAGGGAGGGGCGACAAGCACCGGTGGTCGGCAATGTGCGGGTCCCTCTCCTGGCCTGGCCGGGCTCCCTGGCGGCGGAGGGGACAGCGCCGGGCCGGCACAGCGCGGGCTGAGGGCGGGAAGCGCTGAGGGGAGCGTGCTCGTGCCGGGGGCTGGCGCGGCGCG